GAGCTATCTGGATTATGTAAAACCAAGAAAAATATCCTACTTTATACAAAATGCAAGGTATATTTATAGTTACAAAGAACCATTGTTTGACATTCTAAGAAAAAAAATGAAGAGGGTATTCTCCATTTTCCAATAAGCCAAGGTCCTGTTTTTAAAGCCTTTTTAAAAACCACGTTTTGTGCTTATTTTTGTTATCATTTGGAGGTCTGGTTTCACAAGATGAAATATGATATTTAGAAGGCAGAAGAGGCTGCCTAGGGAACAACTGAAGCCCAATGGTTACTTTAATGGCTTAAGCCTCTTTTCATCTGTTAGACAAACAATCACTGAGTGTGCTTTGGGCAAAGTGCTGTGTGAGGCTTTCTAGGTGTTTATTTACAATGTTCAGTGAGCCAGTTTTTCCTCGATTTTCTGGGCGGTGCAGGCTTGTAGTGCTGTCCCAGGGACCTAAAAGAGTTAATAGATCTTGTTAGGTAACACATGGCACCACTGCCGACCTGGGTTTTGGTTGGACGGTGTTACTGCGAGGCCAAGGTCTGTTTGATCTCTACCTGAATGGGTTCCAGCCTTGGCTCAGCGGTTTTGCAGCACAGACCACGTTTTGACCTAAACATTTAACTTGGGTTGCAATTGAGCAATAGAGTATATTAGAGCAAATCTGTTAATATCGCTGATACATTGCATTGCTCACGCTGTCATACTTTATTTTTATGGTCATCAACTCAGTTGTATAGGAACATATACGTGATCCACTATCTAATGCTTTAGTAACATTATTGATTCATTAGCTAGTATCTATATAATGTTTATTCTGTGTCAAGCCCTGTTATAAATGCTTTATGTACACATTTATTAGTGTGTTTTAGTTTTCACAACAACCCTGTAAGGAGGCTATAATATTATTCCTGTTGCAAAAATCAGAATATTAAGACAGAAGGAAGTTACATAACTGATTGTAGCTAAGAAGTAGCAGAGCTGGGATGGAAACCTAGGCTAAAAGTTTCTATAGTCTCGATGCCTAACGACCATGACACTTGGGTGGAAACCCACTATTTTTGCTCATTAATCAACACACAGTGATACTTTCATTAGTTATTTGAATATCAAATTAAATTCTAGTTTTGGAAAGTTGTACTGATGGCTGCATTGTATTTTGTAAATGAACTGAGAGTGAGGCATGTGGCCTTGACAGTTTAGTCAACAAGACTGTTTGGATCTCTTCACTATCTTAGTAAATGGTTCCTTGATGTCCCAGTGCCACACCCAGGCATTCAAACCATCTTCTGTGAGCTTGAACTTTCCTTTTCAAAATTCTCCCTAGATACTTTTTTCAAAGACCTTTTTTTCCATTCTCTCCAGTAAATTGTCTTTTTTCCACATGATTCACTTTAGCTCCAGATCACCTTCTCTTCTTTAAAATTTTGACAGCAATTAATGTGAGTGCATTTACCTTGCTATATGTATTAAGAATTTTGACATTCCCTCCAATGTTAATCTGGATTGTTATTAAAATCCTTGGTCACAATTTAACTCTTCAAATTTTCAAGAAGACTATAAACTCCTTAAAGGCAAAGACTTAGTATTAAGTCTAAAATAAAAGGTTTAAGTTAGTTTTGTGTCTATATTACAGCTATGATCCATCTGGAAACAAATATAAATCCTTTCCTAATTGAAAAGAAACACCGAGGGCCATTAAAACACAGTAAGACAGGTGGCATCGTTTTATTTTTATTTTGTACTTTTGGGGGAATAAATATTTACTTTCAGTGGAATAATCTGCTCAATTTGGAATTGTTCTATTGGTTTTCTTTGTCTTACCAATTCCTCAAGAACGTATCAATCAAGAAATACTTTTTGATGTCTACTACACATGAGATAGGCTTAATGTCATGGTTTTTGAATGGTTATGTATAACTCATGGTCCTGGACTGCAGGGAACATACAATCTAGTTGGGCTTCTGGATTTTTATACCTATCCATAACATTTAATTAGTAACCTTAAGAGTTATGTGATAAATATTAAACTGGTTCTGGATGTGTGAAAGTTTAGAGGCAGTTGGTATGCCCAGTCCAGAGATGTGAGATTTAAGTTGGACCTAGAAGACTGAGCATCATTTTGAAAAAGCAGAGAAGAAAGAAAGGGTATTTCAGCCGAGCATATTTACAATAGAAAAAAAAAATGTTTGTCACTTGTTTAAAAGACAATATAATGAGCGGTTCAGTAATGAAAGATATAAATTATAAGGTTAAACATGCAGGTTGAACTGTAGAAAACTGTAAATATCATATAAATATCAGATTCTTAGGTCCTGGGAAGTCAGTAAAGGATTTTGAGCTTGGTAGTGATATTATGAGAAGGCTGGTTTAGAAGAACTAATCTGGCGCTGTTGTATAGGTGGACTGAAGGGAGACTGGAGGCTGGGCAATTGGTAAAGAATTATTAGAAAATCTATTTTCAAACACTTTAGAATTTGACATGACTTTCTTGTACAATAAGAACTCATTTAGGTAGAAGAGAAATCTAGGACCAAAATAGATAAAGAGAATAGCTAAGACCATGGTAGAAGGTTTTTGTTTTCAAATTCTTTTTTCTCTTTCAGATCACAAAATCAAACAAATTTCGCTATCTTTAAAAATGTATTCATAGAGAAAAGATTGAATGAAGGCAATTCTACCAAATATCAAAATATATTTTTGGCTAGAAACACATTAAAGAGCATAGCTTTATGAATTGAATGATAATTTGAGACTTTGCCATTCCATAGATTGTCTTAAATATTTAAAGCATCCTTTTACATTTATGGAAAACAGCATGCTAATAAATGCTTCCTAGGTATATTGCATTATTTGACAACCAGTCTTGTGTTATTTCCAATACATTAAATGGTAGCAGTAAACATGAAAATGATGTCTCATAATTCGTTGATGAACTTTATTATTTTGTTGCTAGATTTATTACTTAGACAGCTCACATCATTTTCACCTCATTTAATAGATTCAACATGTTTTCAAGGCTGCTGACATTTCTGTTGGTTTTGAGTGGCTTTTAATGTTTGTTTGCACTTGGATAGGAACAGAAAAATCTCATCAAAAGATAGTTATTCATTTCCATTAAGAAGACAGGATATATGGATGGAAATATGTTTTCATTCGAGGCCAAGGTGAACAAGAGAGAGAATATGTAGAAAATCTCAAACACTGGCCTCTTCGCTCGAGAAATTTCCTTAGTGAGATAACTTTGACCATTGTTTAATTTCTTTTGAAATATGTGATAATTTTCAACAGTCAAAGGCCACCAGTGGAGAGGGACATTAAACAAGCACAGGTTGCAATTTAATTGACTTGGAAACATTCCAGAGTTTCTGCAAAATTATAAAACTCCTTGAATATCTCTTAGAATATAAAATTTTATAAAATGTGTTGTACAACTGAATACCAATCTACTCTTAGATGCAAGGATTCTGTTCTATCAGCAGAAGCTTATCTATGTTTTTATGCATGTAATTTACTCAATGCTTATTGAGTGTCTAAATAACTGTGATATAAGACAAAGAGATAAATCTCAAAAGGGAGGTATGTGGATGGAATGCCAATGGAAATACAAAGTGTCCCAAAATTTTAGAACATATTTACAAAATATTATCTATATGCTGGCCACCTCTTTAATTTTGTAATGACTATTTTATAAATGAATATATATTTAGCCACAATTTCCCATTTCCCCTGTATATGGCAATGTCTGGAACACCCTGTAGATCCCTATTACTCTAGGTATTTGTAGTGGGGCCCAGAGACTTCTTACATAGGTTCCTGTGAAATTATAAAATTTCTTTAGTTCTTCCACCAAGACTAAGAAAAGTGACCAGGAGATTCTACACACATTTGCAATGTTGGTGTATATCCAAATGTAACCAATTCTCAAATGTATAGCAGGAGGATAAAGAAGTTATCAAGGTTGATGCCCAGGCTACTAGCTCACGATCACCTCCCTCCCTCTTTGCACATGCCATGGTAGTTGAAATCAAATGCTCTTACTGTCTCCTGCCAGATATAGAATTTGAGAGAGGTGGTCTACCAATAGTTCAGTTGGAAGTTTGGCTCACTTTATTAAACTTGAAAACTAGTATCCTTTTAGGTACAAACACTGATTTGAGTTAAAAAGACACATAAGTGCCCATGCGGAGAGTGATTCGAAGTCTTGCAGTTATTATGGAAACATGGGTGAAGATTCTGAGACTGTAGAGTACGCTAACTCCCTACCTCCCAGGCAGTTTGATCCAAGGAAATTGTACAGCTAAATCCCGTGGGGTGTGTGGTGGCGGTGGTGGAGGGAGCACGTGTGCACACGCTTCCTTTAAAAGAGATAACTCCTAAACAGAAGCAGAAGAAACGGAAGTAGCCAAGTAAAAGGAGTGTGCTATCGGTGGAGGGCCTTGGGATAGGATTTTTAGGGTCTAATGCCTTAGGTCAATGGCATTTTTGATCTAGATATGATTATTTTGGTAAGATTTTAGGATTTAGTTGTAGCAGTCTCATTCCACTAATACTATTTTTTTTCCCCTTCCTCCTTTCCTTCTTTTTTTCCATTTATAGAACTTTGCCTATTAATAAGGGCATTATGAAGGTGGGCAAAGGATGCTGACTAAAGTAGGATTCAATACATTTTTAAAAAGGCATTAAAGTTAGCAAAGAGAATATAACAATTTAACTTAGTAATTTCTATCCTATTCTCAACTTATTATTATTCAAATATTTAATCCAGAAATTGTTGTAAATCTAAATTATCTAGGTTATTCTTTTGGCGCTCATTGCATTTATGCAAACATAGACACAAAGTAAAACTTTAAAATTACAAAAAATTATAGAGAACATATGCATTGCAAAAATGATTATTGAATACATACATGTAGGCAAACATTGTACTGTGTATCACACATATTTTCACTCAAATTCTTAGTAATTTGAGGTAATTTAGAGAAAGAATTAGAAAAGACTACATCTACTATTATAAAAAATATTTATTAAAAAATTATCACATTTCTCTGTACATAGCATAAAGACAAAACACAACTTGTACATTAATAATTTAAGTGGGCCTGAGCATTCAGTATGCATCCCTAGAACCCACAGATTTCACCAACACCATTGTAGACTATTTCTGTTTTATAGAACTCCATTCGTGCAGTTGGTATTATTGCAATGACTAACATTTTTTTTTTCCTTTAGTGTTTTAAAAATTGTTTGCAGCGTTTGGGTTAATTAACCAGCTGCTTTAAATCTTTGGTAAATGAAAGTATTTATATGAAAAAAATATTTAGCTCAAATTTCAGTAAAAAGCTGAAATGACAACCCAATGCAAAGAATTTTGTGTAATCAATAAATGCATGAGCTGGAGTCCCACCATTAAGAAAAGCATCACCGAGGACGTCTGATGATAAAATCTGAAATTCACAACACATAGTTCAGGGTTCTATCGCCACTACCAGCAGCACCACAACACTAGGCCATCACAAAATTAAACACCAATGTTAAATTCAACATACAAACAGCACTAATTATTTTACAGTACAGAAAATCCTAGGTTTTTTTCCCCATATACAAGCTTAAACATTAATTGACAAGATGAGTTTATGTCATAAAAACCTATTACCTTGTAAGAGCAAGAGCCACTTGAAAAAGCTGCACTGCTTTGGGGGACACCAATTCATGTTCCTGCCAATAATTTGTCCATTGAAAATATAGATAATTTCTTGAAATAATGTTTTGGGAAAACAGAAAGGTGCCTTTGCTTCCTTCCTTTCCTATCTCCTTTTCTTCTTTCTTTCCTTCCTTCCTTCTTTCATTCCTTCTCTCAGGGTAATCTGTATGACTGACCTGTCAACCTGTACATTATACCTTAACTCTCCCAAAGTACCATACCCACTGCTCTCAGCCCCAGTGAATCACAAAGGAGAGCACGCTGGCATGAAAGCCTCTCACTTCCAGGCAGTGTAAACAAGGCTCCAACAAGTATATCAATTCTAATATTCTTGAGCCATTTGATCATTAGAAATTTTTTTACAGGCATGTTAATCCTGGAGTGTAAAGAATATAATTAAATATATCAAAAACACATCTTCTTTAAGCCTAGAAAATGGATGCTTTTGGATCACCACTACTTTAGAGCCTTTCATACTGAGTTAGGTTCTGAATCCATGATTTCTTTCCCTAACATTGGTTTTTCCAATTGACTGTTTCATTTATAAAGAAAGCAGTAAGAGATATTTTTGCTGTCACTCTGACAATTCTTCTCTCTCTCCAACCCTGACATCCCAACTTCAGTGCACATTAAACAATTCACCCGAGACTAGGCACCTGGCACTAGTGTTCACTTATTACATAAAAGTGTGAACAATAAGAGTAGCATAATAAAGGAACTGTATTGATCAGAAGAGGCCAATGCCTGGCTGCAACTTTGAGTAAAAGGTTTTGACCCATTCCTTTTCATTTCAAGTGAACATTATTTTAGTCATCAGCCTTTCCTTCCTAGAGCACATAAATACATGTAAAATATACATTTACATATACGTCTAATCACGTAGTGTGAATTAAGTACTAGTTCTTTGCATGGCAGGAAAATGCTGGTGTACTGACACTTTGATATTCAACAAATATCAGTATCTTTTGATGTCCTCAGTCTTTTGAAATTGCTAACCTATGTCTTCACACTTACTCCCTTTCCCATTCTTATTGATAAACAGATGGAAAACTGAAGCTTATTTCTTCAGGATTTGATATACACCGATGAGCTACTCTACATTAAAAAAAATAAGGAGCTGGTCATCTCTTCACTCCTGTAGTCCTATGCTACGTTCTCCTGGGGCACAGAAAGGAGCTCCATTCCTCATGGTTTCAGTGTTCTGATCAAGGAGTTTTTGGCGCTGTCATTTGTTTTTGAGGAAATAAGAGTTCACACACAAACATTCAGGAAGCAGCATTCGTGCAGACCCACTTTGATCCCTTAAAGCGTCCTGAGCGTCCCTCTTCACATGGCCACTTTTTCCTTTGCCAGGTTCTTTGGTTCCTTGCTTGGAATACACCAGTCATCAGCCTCAGAGCTCATTTGATAATGTTTGAAGGCTGACTTGTTAAAAACTGGGAGTTTTTCTATAGACTCAGAAGATAAGGCCTAAAAGAAGAAGGAAAAAACAATCATACCAAGGAAGTTAACGTGTGGCATAATTCACACTTGAAGTGATTATTCAAAATATATTCAGAGGTTAAGTATTCAAACACCAATAAGTTCATTTAATTGATTAAGCAATAGGAACACACCAGAGCCCACACTGATACTGTTAATCTATCAAAAGTCTCTTTCCCAATAGCATGAAAGTTTTTGCTTGTTTATGGAATGAGCACACTATTTCAGATGGTCCAAGGCCATTTGGCAAATAATTCCAGTGCACAAACGGGAGTCTTGGATGCCTCATGTCTGTAAGTATATTTTCAGTTGACATAGTTGGCCAATGATTAACAGAATCAGGACAGTGATCTTGACAAATAAATAGGGGCTTTATCAGAAATAGGAAAAACATGCAGCAAGTTTAAAGTTCAAATAGGAGATGCCTGGCATCCCACTGACAGTTTGTGAGCAGTCAGCTTTCCTTTCCCTGGGTTGCTGATAAGCTCAGCTCAAAGTCTTGAGTATCTTGATATCTGTTATTTTCTAGGCTGGGACATCATTAGCATATATTTCTGACACATTCAAGTAAAACAAAGTAGAGCTACTCTCACAGATGCCAAAAGGCGTTGCCTTTAAAAATTCACATGTTTATGTCCTCATTCTGAAACTTTGGTAATGTGCTTCTTGGAGCACAATTTTACTGCACTTGAGGCAGGTGGCGTGGCCTAAGCTTCTTTGCTAAGTTACCATATTAAGTAATATATATATATCTACACACACACACACTCAGACAGCAAATGGAATGACTTGTGGTCATTATCTACACTAACTCAGTGTGGGGAATTCACTCTGGACCATAGAACTCAAGGCTGTACAAGAAGCAATCATTTTAGAAATATGAGTGATACGATTCCCTCTATTGAACTCAAAGGATACCTTTAAGTAGATGATAGCATCTGTTCCATATCCTGATAAAGAGTAGAGATTCAGATCTCCTTGAAAGTACTTGGCATAGAGGCGAGAAATTGGCAGGCCGTAACCAAAACCAGCCTAAAGGGGAAAGATCAGTCATTGGTAAAGAAGTGTACAGGATTGTTGCAATACAAAATGCAGGAGGAAGTTATTTCCCACGCTGCTACTGATGTGCTAGAACCTATATAGGTATCTTCTGCTTCCAGAGAACCCTCATAGAATTGTTTCACCATTTTTAGCTTGCTTTATCATTTTGTCATCATATCCCCCATGCTTAATTTAACTAAATTGATTACCTTGTCTAAACACTTTCTTAGTAATCCTTGCTTTAAATTTAGAACTAGGTAGCTGGGATGAATGTTGCAATATTGGTCTTACCAAAGGAGCATTCCGGGAATTGTCCATGACAGGTGTTGGCGCGGTGGAGTATGTGTAACTGAAGAGGCGGTCAATAATTCTCAGGGGAACACCACCTCCTCTGTCTGAAATCTTAAACAAACCAACAAGTCATCAGAACCACACATTAAAAACAATGTGCATCTGTCTACATAAAAATATCTTTTCTTCATTTAATAGTCACATGGTATGCAGGACTTGGGTCTAGTGCCAACAGTTTTATTATTAATCGACTTTTTAATTCTCTCAAGAGAGACTCTTCTTCCCACCCTCACCCAACAAAACAGCAGAGAACAGTTACCTTAATTGTAAGGTCTTCTTTTCCCAAGACAACAATCACCTCAATAGGGGTAAGGGAAGGCCAATTTTCCTGGTGTTCCACTGTTGCCCTCATTGCGTTCTAAAGAAAACAAAACCACAAGGAATTCAGAGGCAGAGGAATGAGGGGCAATAAATGATTTTTATGTTTAAAATAAAAGCAGCGCAGAGGGCAATTCTAAGTTCCTATTTTTTAACTTAGTAGTAAAGCAGCTCTGTAAATAGCCATTTATGAATGTGTCATGTAAGATGTATAATGAAAAATATTCATTTACCGTGTAATATAGCTCCTGGGAGTAATGTCTAATGGAAAAACAATTCTGCTTGCTGTCAAGTTCTTATTTGTAAGCTTAATTTAAATGTAGAAATTGGTTTTTATAGTCCATTTCCTAGCTCTCCCTTTTCTGTCTTTCCATTACATTTTACATCCAAGCACCAAAGACTATTACATAACAAATGAACAGTGAATCATTGAACCAATTTATTGGCTTTTATAAAATTTGTTAGGAAAAGGTTGTTACTATTTAACAGGACAGTCAATGATTCTGAATTAAATTTCAATTTGCATTTGATTATCATCTTAACTTTTAGCAATGATGGCAAAATAACTCTATGAGTTGAATGATTCAATTTAAAAAATAAATCTAATCAACAACGAAAAGCACTTTTGTCCTTCAACAAGAAAAAACTAAAACAAATTTTCAGCCTATTGGCTGAAACTCATACAGTGTTTGAAAGAGTACATGTAGTTCCTTGTAGATCAATGTATTTTGGAGACTGCACAATGTGATTCACAGTGTCTCAATGTTTTAGAGCCCAGGGGAAGTCCCTATTATCTTTCCAGTTGTCCAATAAAGCACCAATCATTCCTTCAGTCATTCATTAGGAGAGGTCATGGGATGGGCGCTTCAGTGAATGAGGAGAAGATATTGGGACTCAGTTCGGTGGAGAAGTCTTAGTTTATTTAATCAACTTTCCTCTCTATCCATTTTCTGGTAGGTTATGTTTTCTGGTTTCTATATAATATTAAGTTCTAGTCATTAGATAAAGTTAAATCAAATAGATGTCTCATGGCCTTAGAGTAAGTTAGGAAAGAGAAAGCTCTGAAGAGTGAAGTCAAAATTCGTGGCAGATTTCATTTTTTTTTTTTTTTTAAGGCTTCCTCCTTGGAAAGGATCACAAAGGTTCACGTGCTTTTCTGTTTTGGTTTACATTCAGTTCAGGGTTTTAGTTTCATCTTACAACCCATGAAATGATTTGAATATTAGTATCTGGCAACTCCAGACCAGTAATATCCGCAAACTCTAAGATCCTGTTAGAAATGCAAATTCTCAGATTTAAAGAGTCAAAATCTCTAAGATGAAGCTTCAGAATCTGTGTTTTAACAAGAGAAGCATTGCTCTACAGGCTGTCCGTGCAGAGTGTGGACTGTGAACCAGCAGCATTGCCTGTATCAGAAATTTAAAATCCCAGACCCACTATGTTTGAATTAACAAAGTTCCCAGGTGACCCATATGCATTTTAAAGTAGGTCACTTCCTGGAGGAATTGACTGTGTTCTGAGCATGTCCTAGACTCTGAATAGGGCCATGCCACCCACAGTCATTCTGGACCTGAACCTCTAAGTTTGGAGTTGGACCAGCCTGTGGAGGTGGAGGTGACAAGGCCTCATTCACTGAAGCATCCACCCCGTGACCAATCTTAATGAATGACTGAAGGAATGACTGGTGCTTTTATTGGACAACTGCAAAAATAATAGGGACATCCCCTGGGCTCTAAAATATTGAGACACTGTGAATCACACTGTGCTTTCTCCAATACACGCTGATCTACAAGGAACTACATGTACTCTTTCAAACACTGTGTAGCTTCTTAGGAGCACAGAAGCATTCTTAGGAGAAGATATTGAGGCTCAGTTTAGTGGAGAATGATACACGAAAGAAAAATAACAACTAGTGAACATTTTTTTTTTTTTTGAGGCAACATCACAATTGCTGTGGAGCATCATACCTTGAATAGTTCAAAGAGCATATGATGAAGGTGAGAAGGGACATATACGATGTGAATTGGTTGGCCCGGGAATTTTCCTAAAAAAAGAAATTAAACTTATTTACAGTTGGGAAACAAACATTTCACTGAATTAAACCTCCATATCTATTTGATTAATATTTTAGATACAAACACAGTTGAAATGTTCCCTATCTTCTACACTCACAAATCTCATCCTAGAACTATGACTAGTTTATTTAGAATAGGAGTACTGGAAAATTTCAGAGTTAAAACTATATGATTTTAAAGTAGAAAAAGACAACTGAGCTGATAGTTTAACACTGAAATTAATGCCAGCTCTAATTTTCATATTTTAAATTCACGGTAAAATAATACATCTATTTTTTTCTTGTTTTTTTATCAGCCAAACATTAAGTATGATGCTAAATATGCTTAAATTTCATTGAGGCTAAAGAAAACAGAGAAACAAAAACTCATAATACTGGTTGAAAAGAAAAATAAAAGTATTATTCTTCAGTGTTCTAGGCCCTGGCAAAGTTTGAATCAGAAAACACAAGGTCTGGCACAATCCTCTCTTTATCTTATTAAACAGTTCAAGCAGTTTATCTACAAGAATTATGCAACAGCACTGTTTATGCTTAGAGATGTTTTTCAGTCTTTATTTGTACTCCCATTTTTAGTTCAGCATTTGCTTTATATCTGTGTTCCTAATGTGTGAGTTAGGCTACTCTTAATTTGAGCAACTTGATTTTTAACTTTCATCATGAACAGGAATTGTTCCTGTATGTATATTACTTGAGAACGATGTTTACTTTAAATGGAAAGGAGAAGGTTATTCTAATTTATGTATAGTGTTTGAGATGTAATTATCTTCTAGCACAGAATGAGAGAGGATGAACCCAGTGCCTTGTATTTATTCATCATGTAATCACTTGAGTCAATGTGGGAAGACCTTGAATTGCCAAGAACTGAAGCTTTTGAAGTATGTTCTGCTTCTAAAACAGGAGTATACTCATAAAGCAGGATTTTTATTGTGCATATTCAGTTGCTAAGCATGATTTATAAAGAAGAATGGTGTAAATATTTAACGTGACCCTCTCACAAAACTTTTAAGTGTGCAATGCAGTATGTATAGTCTTTTTTGTTTTCTTTTCTTTCCTTTTTTTTTCTTTTAGAGACAAAAAGTATGGTAGGCCAGTCAGAGCTCACTGGAGCCTCAAACTTCTAGGCTCAAGTAATACCCTAGCCATGGTCTCCCAAGTACCTGGGATGACAAGGGTGTGCCACCACACCCAGCCAATTTTTAAATTATTTTATAGAGACTGGCGTCTTGGTATATTGCTCAGGCTGGTCTTGAATTCCTGGCCTCAAGCAATCCTCCTGCCTCAGCCTCTCAAAGCCCTGGGGTTACTGGCATGAGTTTCTGGGCCCAGCCCTGCAATATACTGTTGTTAACTACAGACACCACATTGCAGAGCAGATCGCTGGAGAATGTTCACCTCGCATATCTATATCTATTACACAGAAACTGCCTGTTTTTCTCTTCCCCATAGCCCCTAGCAACCCTGTTCTTCTCTCTGCTTTTGTGAGTGCGACTATTTTAGATATCTCATGTAAGTGGAATTGTGCAATATTTGTCCTTCCTTGACTGGCTGATTTCTTATAGTATAATTTAAAGCATTTTTGTTTCCAGGTCTTATGAGTAAACTTGTTGGTCTGTTTAGGAGGCTGTCTCCACTGCTAGCTGGTTCACCCTACTTCTGGTCTCTTTGTCCCTTATAATCTGGAGAAAGTAATCTTTCTTTGATCTCAAATATTGGAATCTAGTTGCTATTTTAAACTCCCAAATACTTTGTTTAAATCATTTTTGTTTAAATCATTCTTCTGTCTGAGTCTTCCTTAGCAACTAAATATGCACAAGTGGAACTTTCTGGTTGAGATAATTAAAGAGAACCTTTGGCTTCAAAGAAAAAATGAATAGAATTCTAGGAGGAAAAAGGAATACAGAAGTTGCTTTATATTTACAAAAAGTGATCATACTTAGAGAATATTGAATTTTCCATAGGTTAAAATATATTTTATTTATGGCTTACCATTCACTTGTGTGAGCTTTAGTTCTGGAGATGTTAAGTAATACTGATCACAGAGCATCTTTGAACACTCAAAGGCATCTGGAATAGAAGTTGGTTTTCATCAGTGAAATGAACTTATGTCAAGTACAGTTCTCAATTGATCTTAAGTGTTTATACCAGCCTAATCTAAAATATTCACTAAAGTACAGCCTTATGAATATGAAAAAACACCTTTTAAATATTTTATTGAAGAAAAAGTTAAGTTGTATTTTTAGCAATAGAAGTGTGCACTTCACAGATCAAATACAATATAAAAGAATATGGCATGTTAGCCACTTAATGGTTGGAGTTTTAATAACATTTTAAATGAATGTTTATAATCCTGACTCTCAAAAGCAAGGAATCTTGATGATGGCATTTATAAAAATATAAATGGAACATTCTGTGACTATAAATTCATTCACAGTCACCTCAATCATGGATGTGTCCATCGTATATGGTACATTTTCAATAACGGAAATGCAGAAATCTAGAAATTACCTTGGACTACTGCTGCCACATCACAATTTGGATCAATGCTTCCAATGTGGCTTGGGTTTCCTGTCTGTGAGTCACTAAATATAAGAACTGTTGAAAAATAAAAACAAAAATATTGTTGTAAAAATCAGAATAATGATTAGAGCTACCACTGACCTATTGATTAGTTCTGTAGTATGATTCATCTATACCTAGGTCTATTGACCTATTGATTAGTTCTGTAGTATGATTCATCTATACCCAGGTCTATATAAGTACATCACGACCATGAGGAGCTAACTTACTGTGCTGGTTCATCAGCATCCGAGTGGAAATACGGTTCATGTAAAATCGATCCAAAAAATACTGAAGATTTTGATTGGTAACTGGGTCAACTGTACAGCCATCTTTATACTCTATGATTCCTTGTGCCATCGTTGGGACAACATTATGGTGTCTATTTCGAACTTTGATGAGTGTATCTACAAAGCTGAGAGATAACATTTGCAGTGAGTGAAAGTTCAAATAAATTTCAATCACTTATATTTCTTAGATTACTTCACAGAAGGCAAAAACTCTTTTTGCTTTACTTCTCTAAATGAGTCAAATGATAAAATGTTGGGGTGAAGGTTTATTAGGGCTCTCCCTACAGGTTTATCCACTATAGTACAGGAGGTAGTTTCATTTACTCTGTTTCTAGTGTACACGTAAAACTATTAGCTCTGTGACTAGTGCACACAGTATAGGTGTTCATTAAACCTTAGCTTTAAACAAATTTAATGTCCTCATTCTAAAGATGACTCTAGAGTGCCATCGTAGAAGAAGTTTCCAAATTTCTTGTCAGATGAAGACTCTCAGTTATTTGGAAAAATAAAATACTTAATCTCCAATGACATTGAAATGTATGACAATTATGTAATAGTAAATCCTCCTGTACTTCTAATCATTGAATTAAATTTATAGTAAAAATAGATCTCCTTCAGGGAAAACAAAAGCAGAGAAACTAAGTCCTCTACATTTGCTCACACTCGGCATCATTTTCAGTGCTGTATTCTTTCACTTCTGAAAAAGCCATGAGCCAAACCTTGTCATCTGCAATGGGGTAGCAATATATTACTATTCAGGGTTGAACTCTTTAATTTAGGTCTAAAAATATCTTAGGACTATGTCTAGAAATAGACAAATACCACATCCTAAAATACTTATTCCAATGCATAGAGCTTACTCTGATAAAGCTTTCTGGTCTTCTGGGCTTTTCTCATGAAATTCCACCAGATCCATCAGGCTCTGGATATACCTACAAAGCAACAGTTGTACTTTAAGTTTGAAAATTAGAAAGCAGATAGAACAGCTTTTTCAAATAACCTGAAAACGGAAACTAAGCACTGTGTTTAAAGTTAAAACTTTTCCTTGAGAACATTTGGAAAACAATATGATTTAAAAAATTTAAAATACTACAACCTTTAACCTTCAACTTCCTAACCTACAATCTACCTTAAACTGTTTCTTTGATTATGTCAGGTCAGTTTCAGTTTTCTCCTTTGTGTCCCAAATGTTTTCATTCCTTCTAGCAGAAACACTTAGAAATAACTTTAAAGAACGGCGTACAGCCTATAGATATATGAAAAAATGCTCACCATCCTTAATCATCAGAGAAATGCAAATCAAAACTACTCTGAGATATCATCTAACTCCAGTGAGATTAGCCCATATCACAAAATCCCAAAACCAGAGATGCTGGCGTGGATGTGGAGAAAAGGGAACACTCCTACACTGCTGGTGGGAATGTAAACTAATATGTTCCTTTTGGAAAGACATCTGGAGAACACTTAGAGAACTAAAAATAGACCTGCCATTTGACCCTGCAATTCCTTTGTTGGGTATATTCCCAGATGACCAAAAATCGCATTACAACAAAGATATTTGTATCAGAATGTTTATTGCAGCCCAATTCATAATTGCCAGGTCATGGAAGAAGCCCAAGTGCCCATCGATCCACGAATGGATCAACAAACTGTGGTATATGTACACCATGGAATACTATGCAGCCATTAAGAAGGATGGAGACTTTACATCCTTCATGTTCACATGGATGGAGCTGGAGAATGTTCTTCTGAGCAAAGTATCACAAGAATGGAGGAAAAAATATCCAATGTACACACCCCTATTATGAAACTAATTTAAACCTTTTTATATGAAAGCTATAACCAAATAGCCTAAGAATATGGGGAGGGGGAGGGAGAAGGGAGGGGGTAATGGGTGGAGGGAGGGAGTTTGGAGGGATTACTTCTGAGGTTTACCTTATAGGGGTACAGGTGAATCTTTCTAAGAGTAGAATGTGAATGTTTTAAAGCAATAACTGAGAAAATGACATGAAGGCTGTGTTGACCAGTTGATGGAAGTATTTCAGATTGCATGTGAAAACCCCACACTGTACCCCAGAAGTGCATTAATGTACATAGTTACCGTTCAATAAAAAAAAGAAAAAAAAAAAAGAAATAACTTTAAAAATTGTGTTAAAAACTTTATTCTTTCCTACTATATTTACTTATAGGGGAGCGGAATTCTTGAATGCTGCAGCAAATACTAGCAGAACATGTGTTTCAGATTGTGACTGTCCTAAGGATATGTAATACTGATACTCCTTGAATGAATCAGTGGACAAAAAGGTGTGCAGTGGGGGGCTTATGAGAAGCCTCTCAGGTGAGTTTGCCATCTGTGTGTATTCTGGCTCTGTTCTCCAAAAACCTGCCCTTTTGGGTTACCTACTTTCTCTAAGCAACATTAATTTTATTTGTAAGATGAGATTCTTATGTAAAAAGTGGCACTCCTGAGTGCTGGCTATGTGCCAGGTACTGGTCTCAGTTTTTTTTTTTTTAATGGATTACCTCATTTAATTACATTCAGACATTCCTTTGAGTCACATACTTAACTCTCCCTAATTACAGATGGGGGATAATCACTCAGTGGCACAGAGAGTTTAAGACACTTGTCAAGGATTCCACAACTAGATGTGGTAAAGGCAGGATCTGAACCCAGAGCCCACTCTGTTAGTCCCTTTGTAAGACTGGGCCCTCCCTAAATAGTAATCATTTGAATCTGAACTGTCTTTTATTATTTAAAGCACAAAATTAAAATTGCATATGTCAATTATTTTTCAAATGTTTTCTAGAAGTCCAAATTGTATTGTGAAGTAATTGACTTTTTTAGTGTAAAAATAAAATCTGCTTATAGCTTTATAATTTCTCATAAGGATAACTTATCCTCAATTAACAAAAATATTAGTTACATCTTTCAAAAGTATTTACTGTTCAGATTATCTGTTTTCCAATTATGATGCTAATATAGCTGAAGAAACCATACTCAGGTAACTATTTTAAAACTGGACACTTCAAAATGGCTGGCTACTTACCAGCTTTTAACCAACTGCACTGAAGAGGTATTTACTAATCGATCAGGGAGGATATCAATTTCCTTCAGGATATTGGCGAGCCTTACAGGCAATTCTTGTCGCAAAAATGCAAAAGAAGTTCTTTCACATGCATTTTCTGAACCTATAATAAATGAAATTTATTTAGTTTTTGGAAAAACATGTATTAAATTATGCATTTAAATAACATTATCAAATATTGAACACACATATTACAAAATTATATTTCGCTTTCAGTTGGCTTACTGTTTATAGATAATCCAGCAGTAGTTCTTTTCATCGACTCTTTCCTTTCTCCTTCTCCCCCTCCCTCCCTTCCTTCCTTTCTCCTTTCCCTCCTTCTTTCTTTTCTCTCTCTCTCTCTCTTTTTTTTTTTGCAGTTTTTTTTTTGGGGGGGGGCCTAGGTCCGGGTTTGAACCCGCCACCTCCATATAAGGGGCCCACACCCTACTGCTTAGAGCCACAGGTGCCACTCCTTTTCTCTCTCTTTTTTAAAAAGACTGAACAATACAGGAGAATTATTGTTTTCTCTTATTAAAGTGGACTCGCTTCCAAGAAAACAATCATGCAGTTCTTAATATTCACAAAAGACTGCAATGTTCAGTTAATATTGCAACGTCAAAAACGTAACATCCTTTAATGGGTTCAACAAACATGAAATCAGAGTGGGGGAGGTAAGAGTGTAGAGTGGTAGTTGTGTCATTTTCAAGGTAGTGATAAATAATGCCACATTCACACCCTTGAAACTTTGCTTATAAGTTCCCGTAAGTGTGAAAATATTTTCAGCAGTAATGCAAGTATACGTAAAGCTATAATGGTGAAGAGATGAAACCTGCAGAGAGCTGTATCCTGTGGAAGGTGGCTAAGGGATATAAAATCTATTAATGTAAGGTTAGTTTACAATATTAGAATTCTTCTCCAAGAAGAACTATGCTGGGAAGGTGGGGATAAACTTTCTAGTTCGATGCTTAATGATGACTGAAAGCAAAAAGTATTTTGACTCGGAGACCTGGACAGAAACATCGAGTATCAGGACGGCTGCAGGTGGCCTTAACCTGTAGTAGGCACAGGTGTTAGAAAGCAGACAAGTCTAGGAAAAGGCAAGGGGTGCTGGCGTCGGGGCTCCAGAGCTTAGCAGCAAAGTGGACCTCGTTCGTTTTAACTGTTTTAGTCCAGCCCTGCTATTCCCAGGTGAAAGTTAGGGCCGCTCCCCAGCCCCCGCACCCCTACCTGGGCCCTCCGTCCCCGCTCACCAAAGTCCAGCAGCTGCTTCATGGACAGCGGGGACGGGCTGTAGCGCGAGAAGTGCTCGACCTCTCGGGGGACCAGGCCCGCGCCGCTGAGCGAGCCGGCGCTGCGGATCACGAAGCGGGCCGCCTTCATCTTGCTTCCACCGGCCTGGAAGGGGCTGGTGCTGGCTTGAGGGTGAAGGCTGCTCCAAGCAGACCCGGGTGGGAAAACGGTGCGCGGCGCGTCCGGGCGGGGACAACAGGTGCGCTGGCGGGCTCGTGTGGTCCGGCCTGGGCTGGGGGTTGGGGTTACCGAGAATTGAAGGAGCTGGGCAGTGGGTCTGAGGCGCAGTGGCTCGAGACTCAAGTTCGCGTCTTGCCACCGCCCGCCGCCTCTCGTGGTTTTATTTGTTTCCCCCGCACTTCCCCCCCCCCGCCCCCAACCGGGAGGAGTCTCTGGGACTTCCAGATGCATCCAGAACTCCGGGCTGCGCCAATCAGCTCAGGGAAAGAACTTTGGGCCCCGCCCCCAGACCGCGGTCTTGGAGGAATGTCCTGGCACAGTGACCACGGAGTAACCTGGCACCGGTGCCCGGGGTGGAAAGGACAAAGGGTGAGAAGGAGAACAGAGCGGAGGAAGCTAAAACGGACATCTGGGGCAACGTGGGCTCACGATCGGCCCTTGGGACAGGGCCCAGGGTCTCGTGGGATGGGGGCCCGCCTAGACTCGTCCTTGTTTACAAGTGCGAGGTTGTCTCAAAGTCAACCCGGGCCAGATCCCGGGCCAGAAACTATTTCCAAGAATCTAAGCTGCGAGTGCTGGTTAGTCCTTGCTTAGAGCGGGGCTTTTACAGTAGCCAATCAGTTGCAGACAAAAGTATGGGCTTCTCTGCCATTGGAGGAAGGGACTAAACAGCCTGCAGAGCTCCACCC